ATCCAGTTTTCATGCCTTTAAATTAGTTATGAGCTGCATTTCGGATTTGCTGACCCCTCAGGTTTTTCAGAGTAGATTTGGGGGCAGCTCTGATTCCTGCCCCACCTCTCATCGCTTTTGCCACTTAGACCTAAAGCAGGGAGCTCCAAAAGCCAGGCCAGTGTCATTCCCCACAGGATGAAGAGAATTTGGAATAAATGTCTGTAAGAAGCTCGGATGTTCTTGCTGAGCACTCATTTCCATTGGCTGCTCCTGCTGTGCTGGGGAAATCTTTCACAAAGCAGACACACAAAACCTTCCTGGAGCAGCTTTTACCCCAAAGAGCAAGAGAAAAACTGTAAAAGTGTGAGAGAAACTGGCACAAATCCTAGAGACAACATCTCTCATGGTTTAGGCATTATTCATCATCATCACATAATGTTATAAATGTTATTTGAATGTTTGTGTAATTAAGAAAATCTGACTACCTGAATGATCCCAAAACAAACCAGTTACAGGCAGTGGCTTCCGGCAAAAAGGATTTGGCTTAATCACATAAAAAAAAGGATTTATAAAACATTTTATTTCTACAATTATCCAATTTTATGTAAGGCTGACATTAAGGCTCAGATAATCAAAGATTTGATTAAATTAAATCTTTGGGATTAGCACAAAATCCTAAACCACTTTGCAAAAACCTAACATTCTCTTCAGCACAAGGAGTAAGATATTCAGGGAACTACCAAGAAGCAAAAAAAGCCCAAAGAACAGAAAACAGACTGATCCAATAACCATCAGCTAGGAACTGGGACCTCATTTAGGGAAATTTTAAATGTATCATTTATTGTGTGGTTTTATCTACCTGCTTAATTGCTCTTTGAATCATCAATGTCTCAAAGTTTTCATAAGGAATATCTCTCTACACAGAGTAAATCAGCTTAATGTTACATATGTTGCACAATAAAATATTTTCACTTGATTAGGCCTAAATTTTATTGCCAAAACGCTGAATTTTGTTTTCTGGCACCAACCAGCAACTTCTCATATTCTTAATTAGAAAAATATTTTTCCATGATAGCGTTGGCCCTGTTGAATTATCTCCAGGATTTTGTGTTTGTTTTCTTTTCCTCTGCTCTGAGCTGTTCCCTTTGTCCTTTCAGCTCAGAGATTTCATGTGATGCTCTCAGCAGCAGATCTGAGCAAAACATTGTCAATTATTTATTCTGTCCTGGGGAGGGGAGCTGTGCCCCGGCCACCCCTCCGTGCCCTCTGGGAGGGTGTTCTGGAGGGTGTTGTGGGGGTGTTATGTGTGTCCAGAGGGTGTTTAGGGTGTTCTGGAGGGTGTTGTGGCTGTTCTGAGGGTGTTTAGGGTGCTCTGGAGGGTGTTGTGGGTGTCCAGAGGGTGTTTAGGGTGTTCTGGAGGGTGTTGTGGCTGTTCTGGGGGTGTTTAGGGTGCTCTGGAGGGTGTTGTGGCTGTTCTGGGGGTGTTTAGGGTGCTCTGGAGGGTGTTGTGGCTGTTCTGGGGGTATTTGGCTGGTGTTTCAGAGGGTGTTGTGCAGGTCAGAACGGTTCCTGTGCCTCCAAGGGTTTCTCAGCTCTTTTGCAGTTCTCTGCAGGTTTGGAACACTCCCCCAGGAAAGCAGAATTTGTGTGCTGGAAACCTCAATCAAGACCTGGATTTGGCCTTTTCTGACTCATCCCCATCTCTGCCCCACACAATAAATATGATGATATTGTTCTAAAGAATCATCTTTGCCCCGTTTCCCGAGCAGAGCTGTTCTGGCTCTGAGAGCTTTGTGCTGCTCTGCCTTTCTCCTGTGCTGCTGCTGGATCTCAGTGAACCCCTGCCCGTGCCCAATTAGCATCGCCCATTAGCGTGATTTGATTGCAATGCACCGAGGAAGAGGAGGGAGGAACATTCCTCAGGCTCTTTGAAGGAGATGCAGCTGGCAAATGATTTTTTATAGTGCAAATCCAAGCAGATTGCACCTGTGTACAGCAGGTCCCTGGAGCACAGGACAGATAAATGAGTTTACACAGCTGGGGGTGGTTTGTGTCAGCGAATTAAATAAAATCCCGCTGTCCATTACCAGAAGAGCTCACGGTACAATGTGAGTGGAGGTGTGTGGATGCAACAGCTGTGATCACAGTGCCTGTTACTGACAGGGAAACAGTTTGATCAGAGCTGCTTTAACCCAGAACATTTATTGATGCATTAGCAGAGTGTGATGTGAAAGAAGCTTTACAAGATCTGCTGTTTCTTAAAACACTCCTTTCTACCATGTTTGCTGAAATATTCCAATCCCAGTTGTGCACCAGCGCTCACATGGTAAATGTGTGCTTCCAGGACCTGCCCTGTGTGCTTCCAGGACCTGCTCTGTGTGCTTCCAGGACCTGCCCTGTGTGCTTCCAGGACCTGCCCAGCTGTTCCAGGGCCTGTCAGGCTGCACTGCTTCCCAGCACAGAACATTTCTGTTAAGGGTATAAAATAGATATGAGTATGGAATAGCGATGGGTATGGAATAGGTGTTGGTGTGGAATGTCTCTGTAAAGGGTACAGGACTGGTGTAGGTACAGAACAGGTGTAGGTACAGAACGGGTGTAGGTACAGGATGGCTGTAGGTACACAATGGGTGTAGGTACAGGATGGGTGTAGGTACAGGATGGCTGTAGGTACAGAACAGGTGTAGGTACAGAACAGGTGTAGGTACAGAACGGGTGTGGGTACAGGATGGGTGTAGGTACAGAACAGGTGTGGGTACAGGATGGGTGTAGGTACAGAACAGGTGTGGGTACAGGATGGGTGTAGGTACAGAACTGGTGTGGGTGTGGAACATTTCTGTGAAGGGTAAGTGGAAACTGTTTCACCCTTGAGGTTCTGCCCAGAGCTCGGGGCAGGATCCAGGTGAGCAGAGAGGTGAGAGGGGATCAGGGGGAGCAGCAGGATCCAGGGGAGCAGAGAGGTGAGGGGGGATCAGAGAGGTGAGAGGGGAGCAGAGAGGGGAGCAGAGGGAGCAGCAGCAGGATCCAGGGGAGCAGCAGGATCCAGGTGAGCAGCAGGATCCAGGTGAGCAGCAGGATCCAGGGGAGCTCAGGTGCAGGGATGGGGCCAGAGCCGTCAGTAGTGGTGGAGAGGGGAGGACACCCAAAGGCCGGGAGGAAAGTCCTGCAGGGACAGTGACACGCAGGAAATAACTTCCCTGTAGGTCAGAATCCTGTGCATTCACTGATTTCAAGCAAAGACTGTTGTGCTGTACAAGAGGGGCTGAAAATTTTATCCAATATATTTACATAACTTCTGGCAAAAGAAAAGGTAAATAAAACAATCTGGATTTTGTTGAGGTATCAACATGCTATGGTTCTGATTTGTGGTCTCTGATATTGCCAACATCACCTTTAAGTGGTTTGTGTGAGGATAAAGAAGGGGAAATACAGGGAAGAAATTAACAGGGATGGAAATCTTATCAAATTCTGTTTAAAATATTACTCTTTCAGTTTATTTGGCTGAAAATAAAGAACTTGGAGAGAACTGAAACCAAGATTTTTTCCCAGAAGAGCAGATAAAATTAAGAATATCAGCTAGTTCTAGCTGCTATTTTTCTTTTCCATGTAAAATTAACATTTGTGACATAGAGTGTAATTGGGACACTTATAAAAATGCTTACATGTGATTATTTTTATTAAGATAAGAAGCAAAGTAGCAACTAGAGAAGTTTTTTGCCAGGTTTGTGCAGCTCTGAGGAAGGCAGTGAAATGGCAATGCCTCTTTCCCCACTTGGTACAGATGAAATAAAACCAGTCCAGAGCTCCAGGTGAGTTAAGGCAGCGCTTTTGAAGCTTTCCTGGGACAGAAAGACATTTATTTGTTGAATAAAGCGGTGTCAGCTTTCCCTCGGGGGTGTCCCCTGCTCTCCCGAGGGGCTGGGCTCGGTTCGCTCGGTTCTGGAGCGGCGCTGCTCTCCCTGCCCGGGCTGGGAGCGCCCCGGGAGCCGCAGCGGGGCAGAGAGAAACAGACACAGGCATAGAAACAGATAGAGATAGAAACAGATACAGGCATAGATATAGAGATATAGACAAAAACAGATACAGACATAGAAACAGATAGAGATAAAAACAGATACAGACATAGAAACAGATAGAGATAAAAACAGATACAGGGATAGATACAGAGATATAGACAAAAACAGATACAGGCATAGAAATAGATAGATATCGATAAAAACAGATACAGGGATAGAAACAGATATAGATAAAAACAGATACAGGGATAGATATAGAGATATAGACAAAAACAGATACAGACATAGAAACAGATAGAGATAAAAACAGATACAGGGATAGAAACAGGTATAGATAAAAACAGATACAGGGATAGAAACAGGTATAGAAATAGAGATATAGATATAGATAAAAACAGATACAGGGATAGAAACAGATATAGAAATAGAAATAGAGATATAAACAGATACAGAGATAGAAATAGATAGATACAGATAAAAACAGATACAGATATAGATATAGAAATAGAAACAGATACAGAGATAGATATAGAAATAAATATACAGGTATAGATGATATAGATATAGATATAAACAGATATAGATATAAACAGATATAGATATAGAAATATGAAATAGAAACAGATACAGATACAGATAGAAATAGATATAGATATAGAAATAGATATATAGATATAGATAGAAAGAGATAGATAGAAACAGATATAGAGATAGAAATAGAAACAGATACAGATGTAGATAGAAACAGATATAGAAATAGATACAGATGGATAGAAATAGATAGAAATAGATAGATATAGAGATAGAAATAGATAGATATAGAAATAGATAGATAGAGCTAGAAATAGATATCGCTAGCTAGAACTAGAACAAGGAATAGGAATAGGAATGGAGAGAGTCCGGAGCGGGCCAGGGCTGGAGGAGTCTCAGTGACATCACCGGGATCCCCACCCTGAGCCCATGGAGGCGCGAACGGGAGCGGGACGGGCGGGACGNCCCCAGACCGAACCGAACCGAAGCGGACGGTACCGGAGTTTCCCGAACCGAACCGAAGCGGACGGTACCGGACGGTACCGGAGCTCCCGGGCCGAGCCCTCCCCCGCAGCCGCCCGGAGCGGGACAGGAGCTGCAGGGGACAGACGAGAGCAGAAAGTTGCGGATGAGATCTTTTCTCTCTGGCACGGACCGGAGCTGGGAGGGTTCGAGTTCTTCCCCCGGCCCTGGAGACGCCTCGGTGAATTCTCCCCCGGGCTCGGTAAATTACTCGGATTAAATGAAGATACCGAGGGCTGAAGGAAGGAAACGCCGCTCCGAGGGTCCGGAAGGATATTTTGCCGTCACTGAAGGAACAGACTTTTTGAACCTGCCTGGAAAATGTCCTTTTTAATACCAAAAGTCGCGAAGGAAAACTTATGATTGAAATCTTACAGGAATTGGATTTCAGCTGTACTTTTAACCTTAAATAGACCATGGAGAGTTTGTTATCTCTACTCTGGTGCCATTATTCTTTGCTGGTTTTATTGCAGCAAAAACATCAGGTAATATTCTGACTGGGGTCAGTATTGAGATGTGCTTGGATTCCTCACCGTGTCTCATTATTTAATGTTTTGTGTGCAGGTGTATGGAAACTATTCCCAGCTACCCAAACACCCAGGTAAGGAGCGCTCTGTTTACCCTTTATGACGATGTACTTAGATATTTCTGTGCTTTTTTTGCAGTTTGTATTTCTGTTGTTTCTTGGCGGCCCCAGAGGAGCTGAGCCCATGCTGGAATGCCAGCCCTGGATTAAATTTGTACCAGCCCCAAGAATCAGACTGTCCCAGTTAAACTCAGCAGCCTGCCCACCGAATATTGGGGATGGAAACACACTGGGGGCAAACGCCTTGTTTTGATCAGTGGGAAAGTCCTGAACAGACTTCTCTGCCCTCGCTTTCCTGGGGTGCAGCTTTCTGAGCCCAGTCTCTGGGCGGGCTGTTTTTCTCAGCCCTGGGTGTTCCACTCAATGACTTTCAGCTCTTTGTGGCAGCTCGCACACTTGGCAGTGACTCTGGCGAGCCTCGGGCTCCTCTCCCCTCCTCCATCCCTCACACTCGGCTTTCAGTCAGTTTGAGAGCGGATTGAGGATTTCTCATCAGTGTGAAACCCTCGGAGCTCACAAGGTTTGTGTGTGTAACTGCAGAGCTCTTGTCTATAGGAATAGTTTAACCTCAAGCCTCGTGGTGGTGTACAAGCACAATTTTACTGCTTTACCACTCCATGCGTTGCTGTGTGCTTTTCTGCTCTCAGCACATGTAATTATTGTCAAGTGGAGCACAGAGCGGTGGGGAGAGGCCACGTCTGTGAAATCAGCATCAGCCTCACCAGCTGCCTTTGCTCCCCTTGCTCCAAGCCAAGAGAAGGGTCCTGTTGCTGCGAGCTGGGCTGTGTGCTGCTGCTGCAGCCTGTGGAGCATCCCTGCCCTGGGCTCAGCCTGCCCTCCTGGACCGGCCCTGCCTGGGGACAGCATTTCGCCTCCAGGGCAGCAGGTTCTGCTTCCAGAGCTTTGAGCTGAGCTCGGCTCCCCTGGAACTCTCAGATCCCGTTTTTTGTGTGCTCGCTGTGGGTCACCATCCCCCGAGGCTGGCATTGTCCCCATCCTGGCCGTGTCCCCATCCTGGCCTGGCAGCAGCACCGGAGATGGAGAGCCCAGAACCCCCCGGCCACTGCCCTGAGACATCCCCACCTTGTCTGTGCTCTGCTCCCTCCTCCAGGGAAAACCTCTATGACAACGGCAAACATTTGGTTAGGTGGGCTAAGAATAGATGCTGAATTAATGAATTCAATTATGAATCATTTGTTAGATATCTCTGGTATAGTTGACTTTGGAAGCAAGGCTGAGCACTTCTTGTATCCTCACAAGACTCAGAACTCTGAGTTCTGTTTCCTCAGATCTGAAAACGCTTGTTGCAGTTTAGCAATTTTATCAACTTTGCACTCAAAATAAAAAGAATAAATCCTATTTTAAACCGTCTGTGTCACAGCTCAGGAACCGTACGTGAGGATGGAGGATAAGGTGCTCTCCAGGGTGGGCACTGGGCACTTTAATAAAGGTTTTGCACCTCTGGATCCACGATAGAACGATCTGGTGTGTGTGCAGGACAGGGAGGCGACAGAGCCAGTATGGGGCAAACTGCTCTGATCCCAGAGGGGGAGAAAGGTGTGGAATGCAGGGCACAAGCCAAGGACACTGCTCCTGACATGTGAAATTTGCACAGCAGATTTTGTAGTGTTTGACAGCTGAAGTGGGGCTTAAAACCTTTCCTCAGAGTCAGCTTCACCGCTCAGACTCCTGGAAGATTTCTTGGGAATGAGAGCTGATTGTCCAGGGGAGAGCAGGAGCAGGGTGTGACTGCAGTCCTTGCTCTCTTTGTTACCCTTCCTGTCTTTCCCACCCATCCCACAGAGAGAAGTAACTCACACCCCTAGGGTGGTGTGCCCTGGTGGTGCACATGGAAAAACTTCTGGAATTCTCTATCAACTTGCCCAAACTTTCTTAGCTGCAGGACATGCTAAATTTATTTCATCACATCTGATTAAATTAATTGTTTTGAAAGTAAAGGGTTTCTTGCAGCTAGCAAGATAGGAAGAAATTACAATTCATGTTTTTCTACACTATTAATGCTCTGCCCTTAAAATAGATTTGTTATCTCAACAGCAAACTTGGCTGGTTGGGGTTGGCTGAGTTGAAGTGACTCCATGTCCCAGAATTTGTTCAAACTCTGCTCAGTCAGACTGAAATGCCCGTGGAGCCCTGCAGGTGCCTTTGTCATCTTGTCCAGCTGTTCCTGAGGAGAACTTGCAGGAACACAAGAAGTTTCAGAACAAAGGCTTGTTCTGCTTTTGGGGTGCTGCAGCCGAGGAAGAGCCGAGCCCTGTGACACCTGCAGTTACCTCTGCAGGGAGCAGGAGCAGAGATATTTGCTTGGAGAGATATTTGCCCATTCCCTGCTGCGTTCCCATCCCGCTGCTTTGGGCTGTCCACCCAAATTCCCAGTGAAATCTGGAAAGGCTCTTGAATGTCTCCTCAGCTGTTCCCTCAGTGGGGGCTGCCAGATACACCAGCAGAGATTCAGCTGGAGATTGTCACACATTTTAAGTGCAATTAAAATGAAAATCAGCCAGGATTTAAAAGCAGGTTTTCTGCAGTGGTTAATCACTGATAGGGCTTTAATCTATTCTGCTGCTTTGATTTATGATCTCACTCGTGTGCCACGCTTGATTTACATAAAATATTTAGGTTTACTTAACCTTTTGACCTCTTCTACGGTTATTTTCTGTGGAGACCTGTTACATACCTTGTAGTTCTTTTATTTAATAATCTTTTAATCTGTGCTTCTTGAAAGGGTTCAAAGTCCTGGCATCAGCTTCCCATTACTGGCCATTGGAAGATGTGGATGGAATTCACGAGTTTCGGGACACAAACGGAGGTAGACAAAGCATTTCCTGCTGCCTGGGCCTGGCTGGCACTACAAGGGGCAGCAGGAGATTACAAAAGGGTTAACTTTTGTGGCTCAGGGGCTGAGGTTTTTTCCCAGTTAATGTTTTTGCAGGGCTGCGCTATCCAAACGATGCTGTATTTGTGAGCTGATTTTTATGGAGTATTCTCCGAGGTTTTATGGGCTGTCTGCACATTTCTGGGTTATAAAGAGAAAGGTTTATGATCCAAGGAGTCATTGAAATCCCATTGTTATTAGTTGGTTTGGTACATGCACAGCATGCTCTAGTACACGCAGGGCCTGGGCTCCCCGGCTCTGCCAGCAGGGAAATTTCTCCTTCTTCCCTTTCTTCCTTTGGGGTTTGGAAGGAGTTAAATGCCCTCCTGCCCTTCTGAACATTGCACGTGGTGACTGCAGAAAGAGAGGTGTAAGCTCTCATCTGGATCCCTCTCACTCATTTTTATCTGCTTTTGGCTATTTCCTCAGCATTGCAGCATGAGTTCACTTTAATCCAGTTCTTTTCCCAGCTGGCAGAGATGTGCTGAGGGGAGGCTGCCCCAGGTGTGCCAGTCAGCTGTGGGGTGCTGGAAGGGGAGGATGCTCTGGGGATGTGGGGTGCTGGAAGGGGAGGATGGATACTCTGGGGATGTGGGGTGCTGGAAGGGGAGGATGGATGCTCCAGGGCTGTGGGATGCTGGAAGGGGAGGATGGATGCTCCAGGGCTGTGGGTGCTGCAGCAGAGGAGCTCCAGCAGCCCCTCTGTGCCCCCAGGGCTGCTCCCTGCAGGTGGAAGCTGGGGCTGAGCTGGAGGCTCAGAGGGTCCTGGTGAGTCCCCAGGAGCTGCTCCCTCTGTGTCCCCACCTGGGGCAGCTGCAGCTGCAGCATTTCCAGTGCTCCCAGAGCCTGCTCTGCCCCCAGCGCTCCCCAAACCCCCGGGCCAGAAATGCCAATATCACTGAAATACCCAGAAATATCTAAATCCCCGTATTGTTGAGCTGTTCAAGTTTTTTAAGCCTAAACTTTGACCTGACTTTCCACAAAATTTCTGAAAGGAATGAAATTGCCTGACCAGAAATACATCTGGGCAATATTCTGCTTCCATTAGGAGCTGATGGCAGCATTCCTACTGACTTCAATAGAATAATAATTTGGCTTACAAAAGTTGCCACAGAAGTTCTCTCCAAGTGTGTTAAAGTCATTTTCTGACCCTGGACTTGACAGAGTCCCGAAAGGAGTGAAGTGCTGAGCACCAAAACTGTTCTGGCAACCACATCACAACAAAGCTGTGTGGAGAGTGCTTGAAAATGATATATATAAAATACAGCTCTTGGAAAAGAACACTTTGCATTAGATTGTTTTTCAAATTTTGTTAATTTTATTCAGCAAAATTCAGAAATATTTTCAGTATCTTGGAAGAGAGAAAGCAGCACAGATGAAGCTCCTGATCCCACAAAGCTTCACTGACAGGAACAGGGCTGGCTCACAGGAGCAGTCTCTGTTGACTCCCATTGCAAGATGGTGTTAAAGAAATTTATAAATGAGCCAGCTGCAGGACTCTGCTGAAAGAATTGGGTGGATTTGGTCTTGTAGTTACTTGCAGGGGATTTCAGTAGCCAGAGGTCTTTGTCTCTGCAGTGCAGCTCTGCCAATGCTGAATTCTCTCTTCAGAGCTGCACTGCATGGCTCAAATTCCTCTCAGGTGCTTCTCCTGTCATTATCAGACACAGATATTATCTCAGCTGCCTCCAGCAGAGCTTTTATGAATCTGCTATTTCACTTGGATATACAAGAAAAGTGTTCTTTATTGTTGTAATCCACTCCAGGTGACAATCTGCCTGGGTTTGGTTCCATTCTGGTTACACAACTCTTCTGTTTATTGCAGAGTCTTTCTTGGTTTTCCACTCATCATATCATGCAATTATTTTCATTCCATGTTTCTCCTCTTAAATCCTGGAAGCACCACCACCTGTCCGTCACGTTAATCCATTTTATTTGTTGGAGTCACTGTGTGTGAAGCCAGATTTATCTCTCTCAGAGCACTCGTGTGGGGAGACTGGGTCAGCAAATTAATGTTTTGGAAATCTCAGCGCTAGAAGCAATCGAAGGGAAACCATCAGCTCAAAATATAGCAAATAAAATGAAGTGGCCATGCTCAGGTTTTTCATCTGACCCCTTGTTTCCCACGCATTTTTATCTGGAGGGTTTGTGTGTGTTTTGCTTTTCCTAAAAGCATTTGTCTTTTTGTTCTGCGAGCTCAATTGGTCTAAATCCCAAATCAATGTCTCTCCATCTACTTTCATGGCCTTTTCATCAGGCTTTATTTGCCTGCCCAGGGCAAGCAATTACAGCGTGCAAGACACTGTTAAATTTTCAAAATCAGAAAAAAAAAAAGAGAATAAAACTTTATTGTCAGACATAAAGAAGCTGGAGGTTTTCTTGTATTTGGATGGAGCCTCCCGTGCTTTGATTTGTGCCCGTTGCTCTGCTGGGTACAAATGGGGAGAGCCTGGCCCGTTTTTCCATGAGAGTTTGTACAAATTGCTGAAACCCTGAGTGGCTCCAGGCTGGGCAGCCCCTCCTGGGCAGCCAGGGCTGGGCACGGGGCCGGGGCTGCCGCAGCTCCTGGCCCTGGGAAGGGGTTGGTGACTCCTGGGCTGATGCACAGGAACGGAGTTTGGATTTCTCAGCCCTCTGCTGCTGTGTTTTGGGCAGAGTTCTGAGCACAAGTGAAGAGAATCCTTGCAGAGCCTTCTCCTGACACCCCCAGCTCCTGGGGAAGGGGCTAAATCTAAACCACCGATGGGCAAAGCTGTGGTTTGTGCTGTGCTGAGAGATATGAACTGGCCAATTCATTACTGATTGTTTTATTCATGGTTTTGCTCATTTGTTTGTTTTCTTTTGTTGTTCCACCCAGCTCTAAGAATCCACAACTTCACTGTGCTTCCTCCCCATAACTCTACCTTTGTAAATACCAATGACTCTGCCTACTCTAACTTCTCTGCAACCGTAGGTGAGATTTCCTGCTTTTTTTGTTCTGCATTGCTCAGCCTGGATGGTTCTTGTTGGATTCAGGGTTCGCTGTGAGTTCTGCTCCAGTGGTGAAAGTGTTTATTGTTGTTATTACCATGTCATACATTGAAAGGCCCCCCTGTGATATTCCCTGGATTGCTGGAATCCTGGGGGAGGCATCTCTGTGTGAGTCCCAGCAGAGGATGGGCCCAGGGATCCTCCCAAAACATAAAAAATTCTGTTAGGCTCAAAAGAAGCAGAGATGACATTTCAGAGGAACACATGAGAATGAACAGGTTAAATTTTTTCTTGTTTTTCAAGGCTAAAATGGAAAAGAAGCCTTCTGGTTTTCACTGTTTTGTAATAGTTTTTAGAGGACACCTTAAGAAAGACAGATGCAAGCAGATTTGCAAAGCCTGGGAGTGAGATGTTGTCAGTCTTGACAACCTTGGTTAACATGATGATGAAGAAACAAACATGATGGTTTATTTTGGGTTTTGTTGTTTGTTTGCTCCTTTCAATGAGACACAAATCTCTCTCTGTGCCCTTTTATTAATTTTTGAATGTCCACACACCAGGAGGTCAGAGGAGGAACAGAAAGTGACAATTCCCAGGCAGAAGCCTGGTGGGCTGGAAGCATGGCCGCGCCCATGTGGTTATGCATAATTATAGTGTCGTGCTTGTGTGTGGGTTTGAAACGCGGCACTGAGAACCGCGAGAAAAACGGCATGAAACCGAAAGTGAAACCGAAACTGAAACCGGAACCGAAAGTGAAACCGAAAGTGAAACCGAAAGTGAAAGTGAAACCGAAACCGAAAGTGAAAGTGAAACTGAAAGCGAAAGTGAAAGTGAAAGTGAAAGTGAAACCGAAAGTGAAACCGAAACCGAAAGTGAAAGTGAAACCGAAACCGAAAGTGAAAGTGAAACCGAAAGTGAAACCGAAACCGAAAGTGAAAGTGAAACTGAAACCGAAAGTGAAAGTGAAAGTGAAACCGAAACCGAAAGTGAAACCGAAACCGAAAGTGAAAGTGAAACCGAAAGTGAAAGTGAAACCGAAAGTGAAACCGAAAGTGAAAGTGAAACCGAAAGTGAAACCGAAACCGAAAGTGAAAGTGAAACCGAAAGTGAAAGTGAAACCGAAAGTGAAAGTGAAACCAAAACTGAAACCGAAAGTGAAACTGAAACCTAGAACCCTGATCTAGAACCCTAACCTAGAACCCTGATCTAGAACCGTAACCTAGAACCCTGATCTAGAACCGTAACCTAGAACCTAACCTAGAACTCTGACCTAGAACCGTAACCTAGAACCCTGATCTAGAACCGTAACCTGGAACTTGAGCCTGGAATCCGAGCCCGGAACTGTAAGCTTGAATTTCTGGTTAAATATGGCGGCCGCTAAGTATTTTCGGTTAAATATGGCGGCGCCTTGTATTTCCGGCAAAAACATGGCCGCGCCCTATATTTCCGGCAAAAACATAGCTGCGCCCTATATTTCCGGTTCAAAATCCTTATGGATCCGCGCCCATGTGGTTATGCATAATTATAGTGTCGTGCTTGTGTGTGGGTTTGAAACGCGGCACTGAGAACCGCGAGAAAAACGGCATGAAACCGAAACCGAAAGTGAAACTGAAACCGGAACCGGAACTGAAACCGAAAGTGAAAGTGAAACCGAAACTGAAACCGGAACCGAAAGTGAAACCGAAAGTGAAACCGAAACTGAAAGTGAAACTGAAACTGAAAGTGAAACCGAAACTGAAACCGAAAGTGAAACTGAAACTGAAACCGAAAGTGAAACCGAAACCGAAAGTGAAAGTGAAACCGAAAGTGAAAGTGAAACCGAAAGTGAAAGTGAAACCGAAAGTGAAACCGAAACCGAAAGTGAAAGTGAAAGTGAAACCGAAAGTGAAACCGAAAGTGAAAGTGAAAGTGAAACCGTGAAACCGAAAGTGAAAGTGAAACCGAAACCGAAAGTGAAACCGAAACCGAAAGGGAAAGTGAAACCGAAACCGAAAGTGAAAGTGAAATCTAGAACCTGATCTAGAACCTTAACCTAGAACCCTGACCTAGAACCGTAACCTAGAACCCTGATCTAGAACCCTGATCTAGAACCCTGACCTAGAACCCTGACCTAGAACCCTGACCTAGAACCATAACCTAGAACCCTGACCTAGAACCATAACCTAGAACCCTGACCTAGAACCATAACCTAGAACCCTGACCTAGAACCATAACCATGCATTTCTGTGTTTGTGCAATTGAAACGTGACCTGGTGGCCCCTGTGCCTCAGGTGTTCACTCACATCCCACTCTTGGAAAACCTGACCTAAGGAGAAGGATGGAAATGGTAAAACTGTCACTTGGGCTGCTCAGATAGCAAGAGTTTTATATTGCAATACTAAACCCACTATTTTTATTACTCTCTAACAGTAAAAGTGTGCTGGCAGATGGGAACTCTATTAATGATGTACTTGAAATGACCCTAATTCCTTTCAGTCCTCTCTTATCTGCTTTACAGACCATTTGCATAGTTCTCACATAATAAAACATGTTCAATATGAACATTATAGAGTGACACCAGTGGCAAAGGCAGTGCTGGGGGAACAGAAATTCGTTACCTTTTGGGAATTTTCCTGGAGAGATGGATTTAGAATTTGGGTGCCTTGAGAACTTAGAAATGCTTAATTTACTCCATAGTACACATGTTTTTAAAAGAAACTGAATTTTATCTGTCAGCTGGAGGTAGGACTCGATGTTTCTTTCTCAAAGGGAGGGGAAGATAATAAATAAAACTGATAAATAGATAAATTAGATAAATAGATAATAGATAAAACTGAATTGCAGGAATTCCACCCCAGACAATGGTGGGAACAGGAGCTGCACAGTGAGCAATTAATGTTCTGTCTGCTCAGAAACACAATGCAGGATTCAGAAACACAATTCAGGATTCAGAAACACAATTCAGGATTCAGAAACACAGTTCAGGATTCAGAAACACAATTCAGGATTCCTGTGCTCTGGAGTGCATTTAACCCATCAGGATGCTTGGATTGTGATTTTTGATGATTTCCTGTTGTCTTCATTGCTCAAACCAGTCAGGACAAGTGAGAACAACTCCCCACCATCAGCTGCACCCTCAGACCTTAACGAGGTTCCTGCAGTAAACAAAAAGCAGTTTTTCTGTGTGAAGAGGATTCACGTGCTTTAGCTGGTAGCAGATGAACCAAAGTGCTTTTCTTTGGGAGGAAACACAAGAAAATCACAAGCAAACCACACATCAGACAAAGCAATTGCCTTTCCAAGAGCCAAGGACAGCACAGCAAAGGATGTCTGGAAAGGAGATCCATTTCTGCCCTGTGAGTGTCAGGGATGTTTCACTGAGTTAGTTCTTAGTGAAAAGTGGGGGTTGATCACCCATCTGCCCTTTCAAAAAGTGTGAAAGAAAAGAAACACTGTTTTGTTATATTTTAATTGGTTAAAGAGTTTCTTGACTAGCTCAGCCTAACAGCAAAGCACCCCCAGGAAGTGGCATGGGAAACATGAGGTTTGATCATTTTGGGCTGTGTGGGTCCTGTCAGCCTCAGACAAGCACACAGCTCAGTGGACAGGAGTGTAATATTTACAAATTGGAGTAAAAGGGGTCTCTGTGTGCTCTTTAAAAGTGCAACAAACAAAGAAACAAACAGAAACAAAGAAATGGAACACACTGAAACAAACACCAAAAAGAAAAACAAACACAAAATTGACATGGCCATGTAGCTGGAACAGGGTAAACATCTGAGCTACAGCAGTCTGTTAAAATCATGTTTCCTGGAAGTTTTCCTGTATGGGAATGTTAAACTGGATTTTGCTTTTGCTTCAGATATTGTAGAAGGGATGGTGAACAAAGGAATTTACGTCACTGAGAAGAAAGGAGTCACCTTCCTCTTCTTTGGAAGCTACAGAAATTCTTGCATTAGTAATCCAGAGGCTTGTGGGCCTGAAGGTGAGAAATTCATTAATTATGATTGACTTTTCTTTTGTTGCCAAATTATGTTATTCAATAATCATTGTTTCTTTCCTCCCTGGAATGAAATCTAAAAATCAGGCTTGACACTTGACTGACTTTTAAAACAGTTGTGCATTGATTGCTGAAAATTTGGTCTTTTCTACCTGCATTTGTGGAAGATGCAAGAGAATGTTCTCTTATTCCTTGGCTTGAGCTCGTTTGGAGAAGCTGCTGTGTGGTTAACCAGTGTGAAGAGTGAGTGAGGTTGGATTGAGTGCCAGAGAAGCCTTCTGGGGGAGCCTTTATTAAAGAAAACCATCTTATGGAAATCACATTTATCCACTCAGATGTGAGCTGGGGAGTTGCTCCATTTTACAGGATGATAGTGGTATTTATGTGAACTGAGCAGGATTATTTGTGGATGAAGTTAATCGCTGCTCTTGCAGGATTGTGTTGTATTTTCAGGATAATTCTTTTGTTAGTGGGGACCCCAGACTGTTTTTGGTGGCTCTCATGTACAGTCATCCCTTCACCTGCCACTCTGCTGTGGGAGCTGTTCTGAAGGCTGGCAGCACGGGGATAACGTGCTCAGGAAATTCGGGGCTCAGCTGGAGGCAGTGCTGGGGTCACTGAACTCAGCCTGGCTCCAGCAGGGGCTGGGGAACAGCAGGAAAGGGGAAGGAGCCTCTTGGAGATGAAGAACTTTGGTTTTCACTGAGAGGAGCTGCTCAGGACACAGCAGTCACTGCTCTGTCCTGGGTGTGCTCACCCAGGGATGCAAACCTGAGGAGGGATTGTTTATTTGCTTTGAAGTGTTGGAGCACTGCTGATTCTAAAAATGCTGTCCTGGTTTATGGCAGCAGATGGTCTGTCCCCAAAAGCATCCCCACTGTCTGTATCCTACACTTGGAAATCTTATTGCAGTTGTTTTCTTCATTCAAGTCTCCTCTCCCTTGCTTCCCTCAGGAGTAACATTTTCCTTTTTCTGGAAGACTCAAGACCAGCAGGCCAAGCTTCTCCCTGCCTCTGGTGGACGAGTGATTTCCAGTGGTTTCAAAATCTGCTCAAACGAAGGTGAAGGCTCTGTGGAATTTTACACCCGTGGGAATGCAATGATGAAGTGGAAAGCAAGCTTTAGTCCACCAGGTAAAGCTCTGTACTTAAAAAAAGCCCAATTTCTTTGTTAGATTTTGCTTTATTCCTGCAGGCAGAGGTAGTGAGAAGAGCACAATTTCCGGAAAGAGAAGGGGGTGTATAAAAATATCTACAGACCTCTGTGCTCAAGAGTTCTCTTGGTGTGGGGAGGGGGAGATCAAGTGCAAACTGAGGAGCAGTGATGTATTATAGAACATTTGCCATTCACTGCCAGCCCTTGGATGCAGCTGTGTGGAGTCCTTGTTGACTTCAGTGGGTTCAGCAGGTTTGGATGGAGCCACGAGCAAAGAATGCAGATTAATCCCTGACAGCTCCCAGTGTATCCCAGAGCTGGTGGGCTGCTCCTGCTGCCTGCTGAATCGAGCCTTTATTTGGGAACTCTCTAACTGCTGCTTGGTGCTTTCATGATTCTGTTCTCTGTTGAGTGTCAGGTTTTCTGTGCCGAGCCACAGCATTAATAAATATTTTGGTCTATCACATATGTCACTGCTTCTATCTAAACTGTGCATTGCTGGGGAGCAGTAATATCCACTGACTGGAACCATTTCTGCTCTTCTAGTAATGCTAATGGCATGCAATAAATATTTTCTTGCCCTAATTTGACTGCCTATACCTTGTTAAAATAGGGCTCATGGTAGCAGTTTCATAAACCTTAATGAATCAGTCCAGAAATCTTATTTCAAGAGAAAAGCTGCAAATGGCAAGAATAATTCACACATTTTTGGATTATCCAATCCAAGTGAAAACTGATGTTGTATTTTCTTCCTCTCAAGCATAATAAGGAAGCTATGAGCACTTTGGAGCAGTTTGTTTGCTCATTGTCCAGCTCTTGCAGTGTTCGTGCTGCTCACCATCCCATCATCCCATCATCCCATCCCATCCCATCCCATCCCATCCCATCCCATCCCATCCATCCCATGGATCCCATCCCATCCCA